ATCTCTATAAAGTGTCTTGAAAGGATGTGTTGTGAATTGGCGCTATTTAAATAAACTGAATTGAAAACAGTAACTTTATTCTGAATCTTTACTGAGTGTGAACCAAACATCAGGGGCCTCAGGGGCCTCAGGGGCCCCCGGCGCTGCATTTTAGACCTGGATCAGATTCAGAATGAAGCTTCATTAATGGTTGGGTTTAAGGTCCAGAGGAAGCAGCCGACCCGCTGTGAGGCGTTTCCTGGTCTAAATGTCCTCTGCTGTGGTTCTGTCTGTGCAGAGATGGCGTGGCTCCTTCCCAGTCGAGGTTCTCCCAGACTGGTTCTGGTGGTGGTCTGCGTGGCTCTGCTGCTGGACAACATGCTGCTCACAGTGGTCGGTGAGTCCAGGACATCTGATGAACCGGGTCTGGAAACCTGGCCTACAGCTTCTCAGTAGGATTCCGGTCTGGACTTTGACTAGGCCATCCTAACACTTGGGTATTTCTGTCTGGATGTTCAGGGAGCTTCTCCTCCTGGAAGGTGAACCTCCATGAACCTGCAGCCTTTCCCATCAGCTCAGACTTGTATCTCTGTCCCACAGCATGATGCTGCCACCTCCATGTGTCACAGTAGGATGGAGTGTTCTGGATAAAGTTTCTCCTCATGAGGACAGATGGTCCACCTGAGTTGGACCACCGTGGTCCTCCTGTTCTCTCCTCCTCCTGTCAGTCCAAGTGGACCATATGTCCTGCTGGGTCCATCTTCCTTCACAGCTGAGATGATGGACTGATCAGAGCTCTGGGTGACCCTAGACAGAACCAGAACCCCTTTCCAGACCCGTCTGCTATTTGATAAAAAGAAAAGTAAGATGAGGAGGAGGATCAGACAGGTTCAGGTTCAGCTGAACCAACCAGTTTAGGAACCATCTGGACCTGCTGTAGGATTCTGCAGCAGATCCAGATGGTTCCTGTCTGAACCAATGGGGGACCTACGAGGACGTCAGAACTGTGTGTCCCGTTCGGGTCAGGAAGCGCCCTCTGATAGGTTTGGGCCCGTGGGTCGGTGCTGTCACTCTCTGTTAGACGCTGCCCGGGTCACAGAGTCACCTCCTGAACCTGAACTTTAAAGCGGACCCTCTGGGTTCAGGCTCGTCTCGTCCGTCTGTCCTCATGTCCCTGCAGCTGGTTCCACCTTTAGACGGATCCGTTGCTCATCAGAACCAACCCATCTTCTGCTTTCAGTACCGATCATCCCGACGTTCCTGTACGCCATGGAACATCCCAGCCCAGAACCGCAGACCGCCCAGCCGTCCACGCTGGACGCTGTGACCTCACAGCCCCACTCCTCCGGTTCCGACATCCAGCTGTCTCCTCCCAGCAGCAGAACTCCAGTCCTGGGTCCAAAGTCCCAGCAGAACATCTGGCAGCGTCTGCTGGTGTCCCTGTTTGAGAACATCACGGATAACCTGCAGGAGAGCCAAACAGAACCGACAGCTCAGGGCATCCGGACCACAGAGCTGGCGCCGTCCAACCAGACCTCCAACGCTACAGTAGGTGGAGCCGGATCAGATCCTTCTTCTATGGTTAAGGTAGTTAATCAGAAACGGACCCAGAACCAGAACCTAGGAATGGACCTTCAGCTGAAGCAGGTTCTGACTGATGTTTAGCTTTTCTCTTTTGGTCCAATAGCTGAACGTCCAGGAACCCGCTGAATGGGTTCCTGTTGGTTCTGCTTCAGTCCAGCATCCGGGTCAGGTCCAATTCTGATTCCATGATAACACCTGAGCAGCAGAAAGGTTCCTGTGGTTTTACTGCAGAATCCATTCTATTTATTCGGTGCTAATCTGGAGTCGCATCACATCATCATCTCTGTCTTCTAGATCTTTTCTTTTTAATTAGGTTTCATCACTTCCGGTTTTCATGACTTGTTTCTGATCAGAATGAAGATTGAAGTTGATCATCTCATCCTGTCCTCTACTGTCCTCATGTCCATCAGTCCTGTCCTCAGGTTTTTTTTTATTGTCATTACACTGTCAGTACAGACATTTAACCCCTCCCATCGGGGAGCAGTGGGCTGCCACGGTGCGGCGCCCGGTGAGCAGTGTGGGGTTAAGGGTCTTGCTCAGGGACCCAGAGTGGCAGGCTGTGGTAGAGGGGATTGAACTCAGAACCTCTAGATTCCAGCTCTATGCTCTAACCATTAGGCCACCACTCCCTCTAATGTCCATCCTTTGCTGTCCTTATGTCCCATCCTGTCCTGTCCTCCTCTGTCATCCATCCCTGTCCTGCAGGACTCCTGTCTCCAGGACAGTGCCTTCCTGGAGGAGGAAAATGTCCGGGTTGGTTTGCTGTTTGCCTCTAAAGCTCTGGTCCAGCTGTTCATCAACCCGTTTGTTGGTCCGCTCACCAACAGGTACCGTTCCAGAACCTTTGAAATCTGTCTATGAGTCTCTTAGGTTGGACTGACCCGCTGTTTGTGCCGTCGCAGGATCGGGTACCACATCCCCATGTTCGCAGGATTCATCATCATGTTTGCTTCCACCATCAGTGAGTTCTGCCGTCGGACCCAGACTCGGTTCCGCCCAGGTTTCCCACCGTGGCTGACTCTGTGTCCCTGTCAGTGTTTGCTTTCTCAGGGACCTATGCGCTGCTGTTCTTCGCTCGCTCTCTGCAGGGGATCGGCTCATCCTTCTCCTCTGTGGCGGGTCAGAACTTTACCAACAAACAGTCCAAAACAAACCCAGTAATCACCCTGCAGTCATCAGAGGGTCGTCTCCCACGGGAAAACACACCAACCCAGACCGTTCGTCATAGAAACATCATCTGAATCTCTGGCAGGACTCTGTTCCAGAACCCTGACCGGGTTTAGGGCTTCCGGGTCTGGAAGAACCAATCAGTGCTGGAGATTGGTTCTGCTGCCATTTGATGGTTGGATGTGGAGGTTCTGAGGAGGCAGCTGGAGTAGTCACTCTCTTAGTCCGACTCTGGCCCGTTTGGTTCTGCTCAGCAGCAGATTGACTGCTTTGGTCCACAACAACACGACACAAAACATAAAATATGATAAATCTTACAAAAGATTTGCATGCTGATGTTTCCAGAGAGCCGACTGGTTTCTTAGCGTCCTGAGAGAGAGATGTGAAAACATCACAATCAGACTTCATTTAGCTGCTCAAACCAGACATAACCACACACTCACATGCCTGCAATGACATGCAAAACATCTAACATGCTCTGCTGAACCTGGATTCTCAATGAGTCATGATTAGCAACCTTAGCCTTCTGCATGCTAGCAGTTAAAAATTGACACCATTAAGGAGCTTTAAACAGTTTGACTTTTACCTCGTCAGTGCACAGATGAAATGTCCTCCCCAGTTTGCCTGGGCGTATAACATGCCACACTGCTGATAAATGTCCTCCTCCTCCTCATCATCATCATCATCTGCACTGGAAAAAAAACCTTTAGGTTCTTTTTCCAATCCAGTAAATCTGACGTTCAGAATCAGAACTTCTCCTGATTCAGATGTTAGAAGAGTCTGAAGGAGGTAAGATACTGACTGCTTCTGCCTCACCACAGAACCACACCTTGAAATCCAAAGAAAAGCGAACCTGAGCTGGACCAGAACTTCACCAGAAACTGCCATTGAAGTTTGAAACCACTGGTGGAAGTCCTATCTGGCTCTGAAGTTCTTTAGAACCGGGTCTGAAGTGAGAATCTGTTGCAGGTGACTGGTTCTTCACTGTGCAACCATTCAGCAACAGCTTCAACATCTAAACAAAGATGGTTAAGTTTAGAGAAAGCTCCAAAAGAAGCCTGTTTTCATGCAGGACGTTAAGGCCTGACACGACCTCTGATGGCTGCAGTCTCCAACCTGAACACTAGATGTCAGCATCAGTTACGCAAACATCTCAGAGACTCAACAGACGGCGATCAGCCGGGCCCGCTGGGTTCTGATGGGGCTGATAATGTCGTGTGTCTGTGTCCAGGTCTCGGCATGCTGGCCAGTGTCTACACCGATGACGAGGAGCGAGGTGTGGCGATGGGTGTCGCTCTGGGAGGACTTGCCATGGGAGTTCTGAGTGAGACAGAACCGCACTTACAGGCTCCAGAACAAGATTCCTGCTTTGGGTTTCTGTTTCCATAGCTGCCGTTCTTTTACATTATCCTGATGTAGAAAACAAATGTTCCCTGAGTCCAGATGTGTGTTTCCTGTCATATCTGTTCTGGGTTTGATCCTCTTTGCTGCGTCAATCAGGGATCAGTGGTAGAGATCCCCTAAAAATAACTATTAGCCTAATTACTACACTCTTTGTTTATATATAGAACATATCTAATGTTATTATCGAGCATTTCACAGTCAAATGGTTTAGATGAATTAATCAATCAATTTCTTTATTTTCAGCGACAATTTACATTGTAATCGAGATTGCAGTTTGAGTACAAGCGGTTCATCACATACAATAGGGTGGGGGGGTGGGGGGCTGACAGGAGGAACGATTTACTGAGGCCATGCATGCCGCAAGCAGTTCTTCTGGGCATTCCACCATAACATCCAGGGGAAGTTTTGATAAGAGGGAGACCGAACCCAAAATAACACTTATTGTTTTGAGAACAGGCTGCACAGGAATTTTCCATCAGCCTTAAGTCTTTTCTTGCCGGATCTACATGAAGAATCCAATATTCCAAATTTGTTTGGCTATTCTGCCTTGAAGTTAGCGTGCACATAAGACATTATCCCATCTCACCTTTGAGTTGAACCACCGCAGCCAGCCTACGTTCAGTCGCACCCAGCCTATGGCTCATCACCCGGTCCTGCTCGTTCACAGCCTTTGTGAGCCTGTCAAGTGCTGTGGGGAGCCTGATCAAAGCTCCATACCTGTTTATGTCTCTGAAAGGGGGGTTGTTAAAGGGAATTGTTGGCCTTGCTGCATAGTTCCCCTGTTTCCCTGTATGTGTCATGATGGGCTATGGACTTGACCCATACGCAGAACACTACTGGAGACTGAGTAAAAGTTTGAACAAAGTTTATTGAGAAACACACACAGAGAATGTAATGACTGGTTCAGGTGCTGGTCCGGGACTGGTTTCA